ATCTATTACAAAAAATTAAATTGGGTTATTCAAGGCATTTTTGGCAAAAAATGTATCTTGAATTTTAGCATTATTGATTTGAAATTGTTATGCCTGAAGATAAGCAAAAAGCTAAGTATGAGATTATGATAACTTTAAATTTTATAGTGTTTTACATGCCATTTTAGAACTTAAATTCTTACTTATACAGTAATTTTATCCTAATTTTAACTTATTTTTGCTTTTGATATGCTTAAATTCTCATTTTGTAGGAAAATATGAAAGAAGATGAAAATTGGCTCAAAAAAGATGTAATTTGGTTAAATTTGGTGTAATTATGGGCACTTGAAGAAACTTGCTAGCAAGCAAGCCTACGAAAAGATGGCAATGCCCAAAATCCATGCAAGAATCCATGCATGTAGGTTTGGTCAAAAGTGAGTCAATTTAGTAATTCCATGAGGAAGTAAGCCTATGGTATCTATAATGTTGCTCAACGCATAAGATTACTTTCTTGGATGACATGGCAATCCATCTATATGGCACATGATGTGACTAGAAGATATGCATGTGTGAGCATAAAGTGGTGGAAAGCTAAGAGGAGTCCAAAAGCTATGCATGAAATGAGAAAATGATGTAAAGGTGATGAGCATTTGGTCAAGACCTTAAGCCCACTCCATAAAATCAGTTCTAGAAGCTTCATATTCCCTAACCCATGTATGGAAAGAAGAAGTTTGCTTCAAGTGAAAAACAAATTTAAATTTAAAAGAGTTCATAAGCAAGTGAAAAAGATCATGAAAACCATCTAGAATCAATTCAAATTAACTGAATCCCTCTTTTTTCTCTTGGTTTATTTGAACTTCAATTGAAAGAGAATTGACAACAAAGCAAAGTCAGTACACATGGACCAATCAAGGACAAATTTTTGGCCACTCAAGCATCTGTTTAAGCTACATATCTCTTAGTCGACATTTGCACTTCACAAAACTAGGAAAGTTTTGAAATTTGAAAGGAGTTTCAGAAACATGGGAATGTATAGGTTCATTCCCCTTTTCATTCCACTCCTACTATAAATAAAAATTCCAAGCTCACTCAAAGAGCATCCCTCACCTCTACATTTTTGTAAAGTTTAGCCCTCTCTTTCAGTGTTTCTTTAAGCTTCAGTTTTCTAGGTAATTTTTAAGCAAAAATTTTATTTTAAGTTTCTTGTATTTTCAGCTAAACTAGCAAGTGTTTTTTAAGCATTGTTTCTTTTACAATTTAAATTTATTTCAATTCAATTAAAGTTTCTTTTCTAAGTTCTCAAGTTATTTTTCATTGTTTTTGTTCTTCCAAGATAGTTTAATTCAGTTTCTACCAATTTTATTTAACTTCCAAATTGGTTTGCTACCACTCTTCTCATATTCATTTGGCCTTTCTATTTTTTATCTGTAAGTCTACTCTTGTTGATCTAAATTAATACTTAGTTCAGTTTCATCTTTCCTTTTTTCATGTTTGTTACATTTGATTATTACTAGTATTTTGCTTTACTCACATCATTCCATTAATCTCGTCATCCATTTTTTTTTAAGCATTATTATACTATTTTAAACTTTTAATTATGTGCTATTTTAAGCTTTTAATTATGTGTATTTGAACCATAGTACTTTGGTTACATTTGTCATTCATCTAGAATCCATAGTTATGTTTATAATTGCATCCGACTAGGATGTTGCTCATTTGATTCGGCCTATGTCATCCCATTCATGTTAGATTATACTAAGGGTATCTTTAATACATTAGTAGATTAAGTCCTCAAAATTAATTGCTTTCTTGTTAAGTATGATATCATTCTTACTTAATGTATATGCCGCCCACTATTATGCTTTTTTGTTAAGTAATTACATTCATGTTGTTTTATGTTATGTAATGCCCATACATTTCAATTATGATTAATTATGATTCTGTTTGCATTTTGATTTTATGTTTTAGAATCTTGTTGGTTTAAATTTAAATTTTACTCCTTTTTTATCTTCCAAAACCCCAAATTAAGCTTTCTTTGAATATAAAGCTAAAAAGGTACAATTTTGATAATTGACATTCTTTTCCCTATCATATAATCCTCATGAGAACAATTTCTACTTATATGTATTGTCAACATGTTAAAAAATATATTAAATCACACACAATAGAATGTGGCTTGTAAAATATTAAAATTGGATTAAATCAAGTTAAATTTAATTTATTGAGTCAAATATTTGAAAGCTCAAAATAAAGGAGTTAATAACGACCCAATACGAATTATTAAAGGGTATGACCGACCACACACACTAAGCTCCTATTGAGAATAGGACTTAATTAAAGGAGTTTTATTGAGAATAAGACTTGGCAAAAAAAAAATCTATTTGGAATAGAACTTGGAAGAACTCATCCTCTGTTTAAAGATGATTAGCCACCCTTTTAAGTGCAGTTAGCAATTAGCAATTTGGCATTAGAATAAAATTACTCCCATTTCATGTATTGAGAAAATTGAAATTAAACACAAAAAGGGCAAACATTATTCTACTAGTAAAGAATTCACATAAACATCTTTTCATCTCTTAAGAAGGTTCTTTCCTTTTTATTCATGTAGATTAATGTTAAATGTTGGATGCTTGTTCAACTATTGGTTTGTTACAACCAAACTTAATGATCTTGGAGAAATCTTGACAACATAAAAAGCAAAGTAAAATAATTAACGTGGATGACTTTAAGAAAATAATCCAATTATGAATAGAAAATAAAACGGTGACTTCAATGCCTAACTTTCAAGTCTAGATTCGATGAATAACTTGACCTTACTCAGTGAAGTCCAATGACTAATCTCACAAAAAAAAAAAAGTTAATATCATAATTTGAAAAATAAATCTATTTTAAGGGAAAGGATCATTTTTATTATTTAAAAAACAATAAAACTTTCTACTATTTATTTAAATATGATAAGTGAACTTTTAAATAAATTTGCCATTAATATTTGTTTAAATTATTTTTATTTTTAATTATTTTACATTTAATATTTTAAAATCTTTAAATTTCAATCATAGATTTAATTGAAAATATATTATTTAAATTTAGATAAAATACTTTTTTTTTTTTTTACATTTTAAGAGTGAATAGGATTTTTTTTCTTTTTTATGCTAAAAATAAAACCCAAACCTCTATGACCAGATTGCAAAGACAACTAAAGTATCAATACTTTTTTTTACATTTTAAGAGTGAATAGGATTTTTTTTCTTTTTTATGCTAAAAATAAAACCCAAACCTCTATGACCATATTGCAAAGACAACTAAAGTATCAATTTTCAATTTAAAATCGATAAAATGCAAAATGGTAAAATTCAAAAAGAAATATCAAATTTTATTCAAAATTTACCTGAATAAAATGTAGTTGCAGGCAATCAAATAAACAACCACTTAAATACTTAATATTTAATGAATTAAAAAGTAAAACATTTAATATTTATACTTAATGTAAGAAAACCTAGCATTATATATTATATATATAATATGGAGAACAAGTTATTTTTTAATATGTAAAAATAAATTAAAAAATTAAACACTTAATATTTAATGAGCATAACTAATCATCCATTGCTTATAGAATATTGCACATGGTTCTTTACTTATATTATAAAATTTTCTTATGCAAAAAAAAAAAAAAAACATAAAATATTTTCTTTTCAATTAATCAAATCTATATGTTGCTACTAATTATTGCATCATACATTTTCTTTTTATTATAAAATAAGAATAGTATAAAAAATTAACAAAAAAAGTTAAATTAACCTATGTATTGAAACTAGACTTACTTTATATATAATAAATAGGAAAAAACTATATTCATATAAAATTATGTAGACAACTAATTTTTTCTTGTGTAAATATATATATATGTTTATGTATATGGTTCTTATTGTTGGGAGATTTGTTATACTTGGAGTCATGAGAGCATATTAAAGAGCATATACATACATGTTAGACACCACTTGAGCTAAAAAACTTAAGTTATTGAGTTCTTGAATCCTTTATGTATATAAAAGATATCTCATTTAGATTTTTTAATGATATGAGATTCTTAACTCACATATAAATTTTATCCTAACAATCTTTCTGTTCACTTATGAGTTCTTATCAAGTAGCCTCACATCTTTAGTGCACTTTTTTAGGTCCGACCACATCACTAAACTTTGCTACTTAGGTTGTCTCGATGCCTCTCAAGCTTACATTCCATATTGACTTGATATATTGTTCACTTAGGTATTTAACTTTTGCACACTTGTGGTAATTAAGTTCACTTGTGAGTTCTCATCAAGTTTTTCTCTAATACCAGCATTTAGGCATATGAAAAGTTGAACCTTCTTACTTTGATACTAGCATTTGAGCATATAGAGTTGATGGATGTGACCAACCTCTAATTTGTCAACAATCTCCCCCCAGCAATACTATTGGGACTCAAACTTGTACTCTAGGTTGACTCAATATATTACCCACTTGGGTATTTTACTTCTACACACTTGCTGCATTCAAATTGAATATTTTTATTCTGATATCGATGTTCGAGTATATAAAGTAGATGGATGTGACCAACCTCCGATCTGACCAACAATCTCCCCCCAACAACATTACTGGGACTCGAACCGATAACATTGGCTCTGATACCAGTTGTTAGGAGATTTGTTACACTTTAAGCTATGAAAACACACTAGATAGCTTATACATACATGTTGGACACCATTTGAGCTGAAAAGCTTAAGCTATTGGGTTCTTGAATCCTCTATTATATATAAGATATCTCATTTAAAATTTTTAGTGATATGAAATTTTTTACTCATATATGAATCTTACACTAATACTTGCATGTTTATAGCATTGTCTTAATAAATATATCCTTGAAACATTCATTTGTAGGTAAAAGTGAAGATTCTTATTGTTTCTTCAGTTTTATTCAGCAACAAATAGTTAAGTGTATTAAAATCCCCCTGATATTTAAATATGTTATGCTCGGCACTTATTGTCATTTAGCAGCAACTTAAAGATGACCACAATCATAACGAGTGTGGGCAATTTTATCTCGAAAGAGGATGATTAGGGCGATAATGCATAAGCTTTTTAATAGAGTAGATGAACTATCGAGCATGGTCCCAATCACAAAAGTTTCCAATGACAACCAAAACACTCTCATTTTTCGCTCTCTAGCATATTGATCTAATGCTGCTGCTGCCTTTAGCATCAACATTTTCCTTCTTTTTCTTCCTCTTGGGTCAATGTCGATATGCATATTTTGTGATAAGCATCTTGCCAGCACAACTGCATCCTCCAAAGATGCCGAGCCACCTTGTGCCAAGAATGGACCCGTTGCATGCATCGCATCTCCGGCCACTGTCACAGTCCCTTTGCGAAAATTTGTACGAAGTAAATCCCAAGGTGCTCGATATCTCAATTCTGTTAGATGTAAAGAGTCCTCATCACTGTTCTTTACCATCTCCATTATGTGGTTTGGAAAACCCCTTATTGCTTCCACAGTTGTCTTTTTTATCAGCTTATGATATTTTGAAACCATAGAATCTGCAAATAAATTAAAAAAAATCATTAAGAATCAACAAAAGGAAATAGTATCAAAAATATTTAAACAAATTAATTGATTAATTATTGTGAGGCAAAATTACCTTGAGAAGTTAGTTTTCGAGTTACAAACCAATATACTAACTTGTCGGTGACCGGCATTAGTCCAAGTTGAACATCATCTTTACTGAAAACAAGGAAGGCACTACCAAATTTGTGACCTGCTTCATAATTTGTGAAACCTCTGGCAACACATGTAGTGAAAATGCTTGTGGAGTTTAGTCCAAGAATGTTTGCAATGGTAGAATTCACACCATCACATCCGACAACAACCTGCTTTCCAGCCATTTCCATTTATATGAACTCAACATTCCTTGTATATATGGATGAATTTTGAATTTGAAATTCAAATTTAAAAAAAAAATTAACCATTAATGTTACTTTTGTTTTGTTTTGTTATTTTATTTTATTTTTACAAAGGAAATCGCATCTTGACTGATAGAAAAAAAGATTATAAGTGATAGGATTTGGATCTCAAATTTACTAGATGTACTTAATAGGAATGATTACGTGAACCAACTGAGTTAAACTTAAAATTCATTCAATTTTATTTTATTTTATAGCAACCTAAATCTTTTCATTTAATAAAAAAAAGTGAGTAAAGAAATTATATATTACCTTGGCCACTAGCACACTTCCATCATGTAGTTGTAGAATCGGATAAGACGTAAAGGGATCTAATTTAATGGAGACAACTTTGGTTTTGAGGTGGATAGTATTAAGAGGCAGATTCGCAGCTAATGTCTTGATGAGGTCTGTGCGTCTCAAGCATCTAACTTCTCCAGCATCTCTACCAACACCCATATGCATACTCAAATTAAGTTAGCTTTATTTTTTTCTTTTTCTTTTTAAATTAAAAACCATATATCTCTGCATGTTTTCCAACTTAAAAAAGAAAAAAAAGAACGATTTATATCTATTATGCAAAATATCCTTAGCTATATTAACATAACTATTAACTATTTCATAGAAAATCTAGAATGTCACGAAAAAATTAGGGTTTGTTAATTAACTATTTTCTTTTAAAATAATAGTTGAAATTAATTAAATTTTATTTTATAAATATATGTTTAAAACTGTTTCATTCAAAATTTTTAAACAATGTTTTTTTTTTTTTCATGTATTGACTAATGATAAATTTAGAATGATAAACAATGTCTTTTCTCATATTTTTACTAATGATAAATATAAAATGATAAATCAAAATTTAAAAATTTTGACCAACAAAAGAACCAATACTCGACCATATAGTACATAAAAGTGTTCATGAGCATAGCTATACCTATCCATTTACTTCAACATAAAGTGCTTTTAGAGGCAAACAATTTGAGGCATTTAGCTTATTTGCCTTTAAATCATAATTCATAGAGACAAATGTAATATGGGCCATAATATATAATGATATTTGCCTCTAATTGAAATATTTTTTTAATTAAAATATAATTAATATAATAATTTATAGTAACTTTTTAAGTGTACTTTTGCTTTTAAATAAATATGAGACTTTTAAAATTGCTAAACAAATATGAGATCAACTAAAATTAAAATATGGTGGAAGTTTCATGCCTTATATGTTAAGGTTCACTAATATATTATCAATCCTTCACACTATATTGCAAAGCACTTAAGATGATGTTTGCAATGATAAGAGAGTTAAGAGTAGTTGGAACTGAGCTCGTTGATAAACAACAGTGTCAATTAGTTATAAGAAAGCTTTTTAAAGCCAAGTGAAATTGGTGTTGACACATTATCATATGTGAAGACTTTTGATAACATTACTTGTATCTTAAGCTTGAATGGAAGCGTAAAGAAATGACTTGTGGTGGTACCGATGTAGCTTGTACGGGTCAACGCAAGAGAAAATGACCCAACTATAATCATTAAAGTGAAGCTAAGCTGAAGAATGCTTAAAATTTAGTACCAAAAGATGACAACATGGCCAAGCATCCAAAAGCCAAGCATGAAAAAAATAACATCAACAAAGTTAAATGTTACAAAAGTGAAAATTTTGGTTGCTTTGCTCATGATTGCACTAAGCAAAAGAATGTACAATCCAAGCCTAGCTCTATTAGCATTTATATTTGTTCACATGTTCTTGTTGCTTATTCTTTATTTGGTTGGATTGTAGACTCAAGCAACAAAACATATAAGTCGAGTCAAAGCAACATTTGCATATTACAATTGAGTTTCGGTAGGCAGCCAATATGTTACCATATGTAAAAGAGATCTTTAGTGTTGGAACCTACCGAGTCAAGTTGCATAATGGGTGCACCTTACTTTAACATGATTTATTGTATGCAGCATTAGTTTAATGTAATCTACTTTTAGTTTTAGTTTTTTTGAAAGTAGATATGACAAATAGTGTATTTGTATCATGTAAAATATTTATAATTTATGTACACATGTCATATTTTACACAAAAATTAAGTGTTTTAATTCGTGTTGACACGAAAACATAAAATACATTTTCTTTTATTTTGTTAAACCCATATATGGCTTTTGTTAAAATTTTAAATCATGTCAACTACATATCTTTTATTCGTATCGTTTTTGCATCACTGTATTGTATTTTAAATTGTTAGGTCTAGTTGAAGTTATGATTTTTTTTCTCATTTTGAGAGAAATTAGTTGAATATTTATTTAGGAAATAAGTTTTATTGTTATGGCGATTTAAATAGTGATTTTTTTTACATTAGATTTGAAGTTTAATAGTAGTTATACTTCTTATGTTGCATTTTTTCTTATAATATATCTGTTTCTTTTAAATGGCACAAACTATTAGGTCATATCGACTAAGATAGGATAATAAGGTTAGATAAAAAAAAGGTCTATTAGGGTGTTTAAAAAAATTAGCTTGCCCGCTTGTGAACCTTGTCTTGCAAGGAAAACCTATAAGAAACCTTTTGGTAAGGTAAAAAAGGTATCTTAATCTTTAAATCTAATCCATTCAGATATTTGTGGACCTATGAATGTGAAGGCACGTCATGGAGCCTCTTATTTTCTTATTTTGATTGATGATTATTCGTAATATGAATCGATATATTTATTGTCTAATAGATCAAAAGTTTTAAATTATTTTAAAAGTTTTATGGCAGAGGTCAAAAATAATGAAGAGAGGTTAGTTAAGGTTCCTAAAACCAATAGAAATGGAGAATATTTATTAGATCAATTCAAAGAAATGTGTGAAAAAAAAAGGATAAGTAGGCAATTAACTATTCCTAGTATCGTAACAAAAGTGTAGATACCTAATTTTTGTTCGGATCGATTTAGGTTTTCTTTGATTTTTATGCTTAGTTTAAACGTTTCAATTCGGACAAATTACACATTTCAATTAGATTGAGCTTAAATAGGCTTTGTTTTGGATTAGCTGTTTTTAGATCTTTCCATTTAGTTATTAGATCAATTTTGGGTTAAAATTGAAAGGCCTGATTCAAAAAGCCCAAATCTATTATTAATAGTCCAAATGCAGTCCAAGTTTAAAGCCCAATTCTTAAAGGCTCGAAATCCAATATAACCTAATTTTCAATTTTATATCCAATTTCACTTTTATTTTTATTAATTAAAAATAAAAAAATAACAAAAAAAGCACAAAAAAGTAAAAAAATAAAACAACAAAGAATAAAAAATAGAAAAAAACAAGACAACTGAAAGATAATGACAGACAAGTAATTACATAGACCATTACCCTGAACCATACCATAAAAGCAGCCTGCAGGTCACAACAAGCCAATATTATAGGCAACAAACTTTTATTCATAAATGGAAGATAATTCATACAAACAAAAGGAGGACTTTCAGCTAAGAAAAAGCTAGAGCAAAAACTTTACACAGTTCCTCCTCCATCATTACCAAACATCATTAGAAAACTAAACTGATCCAAAAGCGAAAACACATAGAAAACTACTACCTAGTTTCTCTATAGCTAATAAGAACACCTATCCGACACACACCAAACACCTATGCCTATACATACACAGCACCGTCTTTCACCAACCCTTACTTGCATTAGTACCAACCGATTCCCAACCCCAACATAGAACCCATGATATATCAAATCCCTTCATAACAAAACCAACCCTCAAAATCACCTAGGCTATGAAACACCTAACAACCTATCCCTTCGCCAATTTGTGCCACTGAGACCTCTCTACCACTATCAACCTAAACCCTACCAAGTGGACATCACTTATCCGATTACCAAGCCCAAACCACCTTCAACCCTTGCTCATAAAACCTACCGTGACCACCTATCTAAACCGCCTAGCCACCCTCTAACCCTATATACAAACCATCACAGCTCTTTCTCATCACCAAAAACTACCTAACAATTTACAACAACACAACCCACCTTACACCCCTCTCTACAGCATCAATTGTTCCACCATCACAACCTTTCAACAAAAACCTCAACTTTGAAAGAAATTGCCAACACCTCTACCTCCTTCAAGACACTTAAGCTAAGCATCACACCCCCATCTCTTTAAGCTATTGCCACCCAAACCTCCCCAACAACCAAAGCCAATCCACTTAAAATAACCTAAACCAAAAATGCCCAAATAACCCTTATCGCAACTTGCAACCCATAAAAAAATAAAATAAAATAACAATTCAACCACATCTCGCATGGTGAACAACCATGCGAAAAAAGAAAAAATAATAAAAAAGCATTACAAACAAAAAAAGAGACAAAACAGAGAAGTGACAAAGTTTTAATTTTGGTAAGTTTTGAAATGGGTCAGGCCTTGATTTGAGGTGAAAAGAAAGGTTGTGGAAAAAGGAAGAACATGTTATAATATCAAAGGACCTGGAGCAACAAAGGTTAGTGTTTTCAAGTTTTAAAGTTGTAGGCTCTAACGCTAAATCTAGGGAGCTTGGTTGAATTTTAAGGGAATTTGAGCTCGGATTCATAAAGAAGAGGAAAAAATGAAGTTATGGTGAAAAGTTTGGCCAAAAAAGAAATTAGCTAATAGAGGTCAATGACTACACAGAGCCTGGCAAATGGCCAATAGATGAATCTGAAAAAAGGGATTTTTTTTTGTTGGTAAGAGAGTTTGTATTTTTTTAAGAAAGAAAAAAAATGTTTTAAAAAAATTTAGCTTTTATAAGTTTTTTTTTTTTTTGTTTAAAGAAAGAAGAACCTAAAAAACCTGACTTGGATCCTACAAAACCTACTTCAACTTGTAGTAGCCCGACCAGCTATGCTTTTGCCTTATCCTATCATAGACTTGGCCCTAGTTGCAACCCAACTTTTTGGGTCATACCATTTTGGCTTGGATTTTGGCCCAACTTGTGGTAAATTCTATTTTAGTTTTATTTGTTCATTTATCTATTTATTTTGCATGCATTTTAGTATTAAATAGATGAAATTGTTTATGAATGATTGAAGTTTTAGTTAAAAAAAAGAGTTTTCACAAATGAATTTTAATAATTTTAAGTTAAACAAAACAATATTTTAAAAAAAAGAAAAATATTGTTTTTTAAAAAAATTTGAGAGCAAATGTGAATTCTTGATGATGGGACTCAAAAAAATCCAAGTAATGATTCTAAAAAATTTCGTAGGTGAGGAAAATCTTTTAAAAATTATCAAAGTATTAATTTTTTTAGAATCTCTTTTTCAATACAAGGATTCTCATTTTATTTCATTTTTTTTGTTTTTTTTCCCTTAATTTGAATGATTTTCTTAAAGGAAACAAAACTATAAAATATCTATAAAAATATGCATTTTTTTAAGAAATAAATTCATTTAAGGATAATTGTATTATTGTATGACTTTTAGATTGAAATATTAAT